CTTTTCTTTTTTTTTAAAAATATCTGAAACAGTATTTTGCTTAACTTTATATAAAACAGCAAGTTCCTCTTGAGTAGGGTATAGCATTTTCTGAGAATCTAAACAGAGTTGACACTTTTGTGTATGTGTCAATACAACTTTTTTATTTGATTGGAAGGTATCTTGAACAGACTTCCTTTTTCTTTGTTGAGATATCATTACTAGCTAAAACACGACACGTTAAAATAAAAAAAGCTAGTATATATGCTAGTGTAACTTGAAATATCAGTATATAGTACTATATATCACTTATTAATGGACAAAGAAATTGCATCAGTATATGTTACATTGTGAAACAATATATAATATCAGTATAGTGAGGTTTTTTTATTAATTATGAAACAGGACAAAGGAAATTTATCGGTATATATCAATTATTAGTATATAAACTATTGATATATCGAGATTAGACTGTAATTGTAATAATACTACCAATATATAAAATATTAATAATAAATTAAATTAGATTTTATATTTAATTTAAATTTGATTATTAATTATATTATTTACAGTATTATTTCTTCATATTATTAACTATATAATACTTAATTAATTATAATCTATTTTAATTACTAAATATGATACTTGATATTAATCACAATAATATCTTTCTTTAATTTTTATTATTACTTAACTCTTTTTTTTTCTGATTCATTAAGCTCATTTTCTTTAAATACCTTAAATTTTTTTTTGTATTTAGTTCTTTATTTTCTTTTGAATCGAATTTCTTATCATTAAAAATAATATATAGTATTTATTAAATAATTTTATATAAAATAACTATAAATAACTATTATTATATATCTTTATTTTTTTTTATTTTTACCATTTTTTTTTAATAATTGATATATTTACTAATAATACTTTATTATTTTTAATTATCTATTTAATATGATATAAAAATTTCTTTTAATTATCATCAAATAATATTATACTAAGTTTCTTGTATTTAAAGCTTAATATTAAAAGTTATAATTATCTTTATTTAATTTTGAAAAATTTAATATTTTATTTACTATTTTTCAATATTATAAGTAAAGTTAAAGTATGAAATTAATTTTATATTTATCTATTTTTATGAAAAAAAGAATTATCAGCTTTTCTAATAGAAAGTTTAAACTTTAAATTATGTATATATTTATTATCAAATATTAGTATAAGGTTTAGTGAATTTTTTAAAAATGATACATGCTGTTATTAATGATGATGGTAATAATTTTTAATAAAGATAATATAATTAATGAAATTGCTTTAAAAGATAATGATTTTTAAATAAGAGATAATAATAATTTTTTGAAGAAGATAATGAAGTTGATAATATTTTTGAAATTTATATAGATTTTTTTGAAATTTTACAAAATTGACTATAGTATTTAATATAAAAATAAACAGATAATATAAACAAATATTTATTATTATAATTAAAATATTGATTTTTTTGTTACTAATTATAAATATAGTGAATTATCAGAAATTTTATTTTTTTGTTTACCTAAAATATAAATATATAAAATATATTATAAAAATAATAATTAATTCAAATATTCATCTAATAGTATATCTAGTAAATAGAAATATAAATAATTTTGTTGATTAATATTATTATGAAGACTATCTAGTAAAAATTTATAAGAATAAGTGATTCTTTTTTATTTTGTTATAAATTTCAAGATTTATAATTTTATCATAAAGATAATTATTATTTTTCTTATAATGCAAATATATTTAATACTCATAATAAGTACTAACTATATATTTAAAAAGTTGCAAAATGTGTGATTTATTATTTAATATATGAATTTATTAAATTTCTATTGTGTTACAAAAATCTATTGATAGATGTTATACATTCTATAATCTGTATATTGTGTAATTTTTAAAACTAATATAATATGTAGTGATATAAATTATGTGTAGTTAATGTAATCAGTATAATTAATTTTTAATGATCTATAAAAATAATCAATCACACTTTTTTGAAACATTATTAAAATACTTTAAAATGAAAGATATTATAATTAAGATATTTTATAAAAATGATTTGTAAAGCAAAAAATGTAAAATGATCTAAATTATTACTTTTATTATATTTTGATTCTATAAAATATATTATAATTAATTTAATGCATTACTTATTTTTAGGTATTGCATGATAAATAATAAAATAAATCTGAATTAATAAATAGATTTAACATTAAATTTCCTAAATAAGATTTAGAAAAAGATAAATAAATTTTAAATTTAAGTCAAATTCTAAGTAAATTTTATGAAAAAAAAGGATTTTCTAATTTTATAGCTAATTAGTGAAAAATATTTTTCATTGTATATACTTCTGTTTTATTTTAAGAATATTTTCTAATTGTAGATAGAAAGATCTTATATATTTATATAATTTTAGTAAGCCAGATTGTAGAATAAAATCTATTATATAAAACATATTAAAGATTAATTGATATAATAAAATTAATAGTTAATAATCATAAGTATAGCAAAATTATATTAAATCTTCACTTTTCTCTCCATTTATCTGAATCCTTATTAGATTATAGTCTATTATATGCATTTTTGTATTTTCTTTTGAATATTTAAATAAAAATATTAGATATTTTTTTGAGAATTTCTTAATTGCATTAACTTACTAATTTATGAATGATTTTTAGGTTTTTTATTAAATAGTAATAGAAAAATCAAACTTGAGCTAATGCATCAATTGATATTTGATATTTAAATCAATATTATTATAAGTTTTAGTAATATTAAGATAAAAGAACTTAAATTACTAGATAATCATGTTTCTATTAGTTTTCTTTCAAATACAGACGAATTTTTTTTGAAAAATCTATTAATTTTTAAATGAATTCATAAAATATTAAGAAATTAAATATTACTAATAATAAATATTTTTTTTAAACTATTATTCAATAATATAATTATTTTAAATAAAATGTTTAATTGATAGTTAAATATTACATGATAACTTATATTATCATATTTCTCTAAAAATAAGTTATATAATTTTATTATAATGTTGCTTATTTTTAAATAGTTAAATTTTTAATTAAAAGTCTAATTTTTCATGATAAAATTAAATTAATATGAATTCACATAATCACTAATCATTTAATATGCATTATGTATTATTTACAAATATATTTTTATATTAGTTTATTATATCAAGTGTAATAAATAAAAATGCTAAGTGTTTCAATAATCTTTATAAAAAATGATATACTTGGATGACAAGTGAAGGAGTTAGAGAATCTGTTGCAAGAAATCTTTGTTATACTAGATTGAATAATATATATTTGTAAATAAAGTTTTATTCTATGATGAAATAATCATAGAATTTTTCTCGACTTGTAAAATTTCAACCAATTTAAATGAATCAGTTTTTTAATTGAAAATTAGCAATAATGATGAAAATAATGTTGATAGTTGTAATAATGGTGATAATAATACTAGTAGTGATAATTGTAGTAATAATGATAGTAGTTATGATAGTAATAACAGTAAAGTTATTAGTGGTAAAAGTAATTTGTATGTTTAATTATATTAAAATTTTATGATTAATATGTGTATTTTATGATAGTGATATAAGCAATTATTTTATAAAAATTCATTAATAAAATACATTTTTTTTGATTTATTTGAATTTTATTTAATATTTAAAATATCCTTATTACATTATATATAGTTTTTATGTGAAACTAGTTAATATTTAATGTGTTGCTTATTTTCAGATATATTTTTTAAAAGTTACTTATTTTTGGAGGTTGCTTATTTTAGCTAAATTTATTATAAATAATGATATTATTAATTATTATTTAAGTAAGTCTAGTATTATAGAGGATTTTCTAAATGTAATTTTTAGAATGCAATTACTATATGATGCAAATAGCTTAGTCGCATCAAATGATTTTCAATAATTTTAAAATGTAAAGGAATTTTTTTTAAACATACAGTTATTAAAAAAAATACGTTATTAAATAGTCTTTGATATGGTCTTTAATATTACATATTTTTTTTTTAATTTATTATAAAAGTTTTTTGTAGTTAGGATTTTTTTATTGTTAACTTAATAGTAATAGTGGAATTTTCAGCACCCTCTATTATCACGTGCTGAAATATAATTGATACATATAAATTGTGTGATAGTTTATAATTGGTTAATTGTGATTTAATAATTTTATTTTGCTTTATATATCACTAAATTCTTTTAAAATATTTGCAAGAACACGACAATGAGACTGATACTTCTTAATCACAAAAATAGCTACCTTATCTAAAAGTCTAAGCTCATAAGTACTTATGTAACATCCAGAATAATATGTAAATCCACAAATTTTTATTAGGCTAACAGAAGCTAAAGCATCTCTTTAAGATCCTTGAATGTATAATTGCAATTAAGATGTGAATACCACTTTGCTTCTGCCTAAAAAGACTTAATATAATTAAGTTTGCAATAAAACTTCAGATAGAACATGCATATATGTCTTGTTTTTTCAATAACTTAAAAGATAAGTATCTTAAAAAAATGTTAATTAAGTTGAATAATTAATTTATTATTAACTTTAGCTTACCTCTTGCAGGTATATATTTTGTGACGCAAAATTAGGTTGTGAAGAAAGGATGTATAATGCGTAACAGTCTAGCTTAATTAGATCAGAATCATATTGTATATATACATTACATTTTCTTTTCAAACCTGATATCCACAAACTACACTATTCAAGAATTCATCGAATACCTTTAGATTTTACTATACTATTAATATCCATAAATATCATAATATGAGGTGAGCCATCAGGCATTCTATCATTATAGAGGAATGGTTATTTGCCATCATCTTTTATGTTCATTCTTGAAACCACTAATGCATCATCAGTAAATGCATTGTGGTTGCAACTGTTATTAGACATAAATAATGCAATTTTTCTTAGGTGAATATGTTTAAATATTGAGATAGCCTGCTAATTTACTTGTTTAATAATATCTTTATTTGTCTACCAGCTATTACAATTTGTATTAGGATACATTGTAATGCAAGCTTCAGTATACACAAGTCGCTCACTACTAGAAAGCAAATCATTAGCAGAACAATCTTCTTCTGAAAGTTGGAGTTGTCTAATAGACTCACAGAGAAAGTAGCTTACATAAATACTAAGGCCTTATAACTTTTGACAAAGTTTATTCTCATTTGCTGGACTCCAAGCCTTGACAATATCATCATTAGCATAAAAGATTGATTCATTATGGATAACGGGAACGATCTTAAAAATATTATATGAAAATACAGGCAAGATTATTTGATTCAAATTATTGCCTTTGTAAGTAGACATTTGGTTTTGTAATTCTACCTATTGTTACAAAAATCAATGTTTATCTGTTATTACATCTTTACGCTTATGACCATCAAAATAAATATTCTTTGAATGATCTTTATATTCTCAGCTAAATGTATGCAGCTATTCACGTGCAGTTGAATTTGAGATGCTTATCTTTTCTTCTAGGGATAACCTCATCCTCAATGAATTTTACGAAATCAGCAACATTTAACTTGAATTTATATATACGTAAATATTTAATAACTCATAATTTAACGTTTTTATGCAAAAGAAGAGACCTGATCTTTGCATGATGTTCACGTTTAGATGTAATGATTATACTATTATTAAGCTATTGATTTGCCTAAGAGTAGATAAGCTATGCTTACTATAGACCCTTATTCAAGCTCTAGGTAAGAAAATTACTTGCATTCATCTTCATGTATCCTTAATCTTGAACTAGATAGAGAAATTGACTTACCATTCAAAGCTGCAAATAATCTTTCTTTTTTTAATAATAAATCTAGAGATTCTAATATAAATTCATTATCATCATCGTCGCTACTATCACATATATCATTAAATGCAGGATCATTAAATACAGGATCATCAGTATTAGGTTCAGCAGCTTTATTTGTTGAAAACATTTCAGTAATTTTCTTAGAACCTGAAGTTGCTTTTTTTCAATATGCCTTCTTATTACATAATATTGATTTTGCATCACCATTATATACTAGCCTATGCGAATTTACAGCCTATGCATATGACTTTGCATTTTAACTAATTATTGTAGTGTATTTAGTTCTCACGTTTACATTTCATCTATAATTTCATCACTGTTGAATTGCATTTCCTTTCCTTCTATCTAAAAAGTCTCAAACTATGATTTATCAAACTTATTAGGTTCGATATCTAATAGTTCAAGTATTACTTTTTCAGCTTGCTTCTAACATTTTTTGATAGCTTCTTGAGACTGTCTAGTACGTTTGTTTAGTTTTAGTATTCTAATTCTATTAAATTAAAATATAAGAAAAGTAGAATATTAATTGCAAATAATATAAAATGATGTAAAATTTTGCGATTTAACTGATATCAAGTAACTATAATTTAATTATGTGTTAGACTTCTGACTAATGAAATTTTGATTTAAATATGGTAATGATCAGCAAAATTTTCAGTAGTGGTTTAGTCATTTGATGTGACTAAACCATTTGTACTATACAAAAAAGGTAATATTTATTATACAAATATGATTTGTTTTTGTTTATTTTATTTTAAAAAATATTTCTAACTTCAATTTTTCTTTCTAATTTCATTTTTTTTTTACAAATTGTGGTTACGACTATAACAATAGAAAAAAATAATGAATTAACTGTAAAACAACGAGATGCTATATTTTATCTTCATAAAAATAATAATTCATATAATCAGATTGCAGAAACTGTTAGATGTGAAAAAATAACAGTTTATGATATATTAAAAAGACATTCTGAAACTAGATCTGTTGATTCTAAGCTTTATTCCAGATGATTATGTCTGATCAATATCACAAATTATAATCGATTTAAATGTTTGGTAACAAATGAAAAAGTATAAAATCAACAATTATATTTTACTGGAATAAAAGAACTATAAAAAAAAATAAGTCAGAATGTTTCAGAAATTACCATTCGTCATACTCTTCATTCACTTGAACTAAGAAGTTATATTGCACAGCAAAATCTCTCATTTCACTAATAAATAAAGAGGCACAACTTGCATGATATTTAGAACATGAAAACTGGACAAAAAATAATTAGGCAAAAGTATTATAATTTGATGAATTGACCTTTATTCAATTTCAATAAAGTTATACTAGCAGAGTATAAAGAGAACTAGAAGATAAATGGTCACTCTCTTGTGTTTCAGCCACAGTTAAATACAGCCTAAGCCATATGTTTTAGGGTTATTTTTACAAAAAGGGATGGACTGATTGTACCACTTTAAGGATTAGCAATTGAAGCTACTCATATTGAAATACTACGCAAATATGCTTTACTTATAATAAGTATATATTTTTAAGAAACAATGATTTATTTTAAGAAAATAATGCTAAACCTTATAAAACAAAGGTTGCATCATCATTTTGCGTAGAAAAAAACCTGCATATTCTCTGATCTGCTTAAAGTCTAGACCTTAACCCAATAGAAAATTTATGGGCTGAAGTAAAAAAGAATATTAGAAATAAAAAAAAAAATCAACCAATCTTACTGAACTTGAAAGGGATATTAAAAATGCATGAAAAGCAATTTCGAAGTATATGATTAAAAATTTGATTGATAGTATGCTAGTACAAATTCAGACAGTAATTGCAACAAAAGGTAGTCCAATTAAATATTAGTTTAATAATACAAAATATAGGTTTTGATAAGCTTAAAATAAAGTTTTTTTGGTTGAGTTTAAAAATTAAGCATTTTATATTGTATAAAAATTCGTTTGAAAACTTTTAATAACTCTCTATATTTTATTTATATGATCAATTTACTATTCATATTGGCTCAATATTTTCTAGTATATATTTGCTAGAATTAATTTGTAAGTTTAAATATGTGATATTATTTTAGTAAAAAAATATATATAATGTTAAATTATAGAATACCAAATTTTATTTAGAAAATCGTAATTATATAATATCAGTTCATCATATTTTAGGTAATATTTATTAGAATTTATTAAATTTACTTATTATTACTTAATATAAAATTTGATAAATAATTAGTTTTCTTAAATGCTTAATATAAATATCTAGATGTTTCATTTAGAATTTTGATCTCTAGCAGGATAAAATAAATTTGAAATGTTTGTAATATTAATTTTAAACTCACTGTTACCTGAAAAATTAAGGTCAGATCAGTAGATCATTCTAGTTAAATGAATTTATTATTGATCATTCAAGCAGAATGATTTTATTATCATTCAAATTTTTAAGTTAGGTTTGCATTATAAATTAATCAGAATTATAGTTTATAAAATTATAATTTGACTAAAATTAAATAATTATAGTCCATTTGAATTGAAATTGGACTGAATATCTCCATTAGGTCTAAAATCTATTAGTCTATTATTAGGAATTGGACAAGGTTCAATTCCAACACTGATTAAATTTATATATAATTATTAAATAATTTAATATATAATTTATAAAAAAATTTATTATTTATAAGTAATTATAATTTTATAAAAAATATATATAATATATAAATTTAATAATATATAAAAATAATTTGAATTATTAAGTAATAAATACATATAAAATAAAGAAAAAATTATATAATAAATATTTTAAATCATATAAAACATTTAAAATAATAAAGAAAATTAATAAATTACTTAATTAATAATTGAAAAATAGTTTTTAAAATATAAATTTTAAAAAGTAATATTGAATTAAAATATATTTTTTTTAAAAAAAATATAGTAAAAAATTATCAAATTTGTAAATAAAAAGTAATATAAATTTATTTTAATAAATTTTTATTAATAATAAAAAATTATATAAAAATTATAATAGAATGTGATTCAAATTTTTAGTGAAAAGTTTTTGAAAATTTTAGTTATTATAATCTTTTAGACAAATTTAGTTAATTGACTTTTTTATTAATATTTCAAATAAGAATTAAGATCAGTCATAGCTAAGTTAACTGAAAAGAGTCGTTAATGACTGAATAAATTGACTTTAAAAATTGCTAAAACTGGCACCACTACTAAATAACATTTTGATATTATATTAGAATCAAACAAATGAATTGTTACGAGTATTTGCAAATCAGATTTTTCAACCTCTGGGGAAGTTATATCGATATCTATTCAGCCATAAGAATTAGCACATGTAGATCTCTTGAAATTTACAAATAATCTTAAATGTCGCAGCTGTTCCAACCATTTTGCTATATATTAAAATAATTAATCAAACATGAGGTAAATAATTGTCATTATCTTTTTTTAAAAAATCAACACCTCATTATATAGGAAGAATTTGCCTGATCCGAGAATTAAAGACCTGCGATACAAACAAAAGGTAAGCAATTAGTTGTTTTCAATTTAAAACATAAAAATAAAATTCACTCTATAGGCTATTACCCCGATCTAAGAATTGAAGACCTCCGGAACCTCCTCTTACCAAAGATTGATGACCTCCGATATAACCAAAAAGGATTTTTCATTACTTTTCAATTAAAAAATATAAAACTAGCAATACCTCTATAGGAACTTGCCTCGGCCCATGGATTGAAGATTTTTGGATTCTACAAAAAGGAAGAAGCATTTGATTATTTTTCTTAAATATTTTTTTAAAAAAAATCACAATCACTCTTTAGGAAAAACCTAACCGATCCAAGAATTAAGATCAAAAGGGAAGCATTTAGTTTGTCAACACTCCCTCTATAAGAACATGCTTCCGACCCAAGGATTGGTGTATAGATGATTCTGGAATCTACAAATAAGTAAGAAATTGAAGACTTTCGGAACTCACAAAAAGGCAAGTATTTATTAGATTTCTTTAATTTAAAAAACTAAAGCTTTGATCTAATTTTTTAATTAATGTAAAATTGTCTACGAAGTCTTTACTCGAATTTTTTAGCGTTCGTCTTTTTTCTTTGCGGAGCGTCCGAAACTCCATAACGGAGTTAACATTCATATTAAAAATGTATGGTATGCTCGTCCATGCATCATAAATATTATTAACAATGTCGGATGTTTGTATACCGATTTTCCTAATATGAAAAAATAAAAAATTTGATTATATGTGTAAAATTCTTTAATATTTTGAAACTAAAGATTATTTGGTGTTAAGATTTCACCAAAATGCTTCCAACTTCACCGGAATAACTTACATAATAAAATAGTGTATCTTTCTGATATATTCCGTTTTATATCTTCTAGCAACTTTGCCATTAATTATATGAAATAAACTTAAATGGAAATTTTCTACAATTAATCCTAATTTGTATTTACCAAGTGAACATAAAAAATGCGATTCAATCTACCGTTTTCAAATCGTATTCGTAGGTGAAATAAATTATCTTTGATTGCGCTGGTATTGTTGAAATTAAAAATTTTCCCACAATGAACAAAAAGTCGTTTTGATGAAGTTGGCAGTCCTTGTCTGATTCTTGATACATTTTCACAATACCTTCGAGATAAATCTTTAGTTCGTCTTCATTTATCTCAAGAAATTAATAAATAATTTTTCGATAGTCTGTCTTTTCATAATTAAATTCTGATATGGTGCGTTGATAAAACAAAAAAGATTAATTAAGAATACTAGAATAATAGAATAAAAAGAATATCTGTTGAATTTTAGAAAATTAAAGTTTTTTCACCATTATAAAGCCTAAACTTCCTGCGAATTAACAAAAGGTCAATTAATATTTTTATTTTAGATCTGTTAAGGGATACTTATGAAGAATGAGTCACCAGTTGCTGTCCCGGTCAATGGAACAATCGGCACACAGGATAAACCTACTAACCCTCAGGTTCTCGTACAATCTGGCTTTTGGAATTGAGAGAAGGTCGATTCGTCACTCCACATTAATTTCGACAAAACCAACTTTGGTACACAAACATCTTGCGGACGTTTCTCCACGTGATGAATTAAAGATGTTCGAATTTCTTCCAAAGTTGCTGAAATTCATCAGCACACGATTTTTATCATTCGTTTAATGCGATCACGTTGAGTTACGTAATCAAAGGTGGGTCCGGAGCGAGTTGTCGATCGATTCGATTGGTCCGTCAGCTCATCATAAAGTATTCCAAAAAGTTGACAATCCACACATAACGGTCTTTGCAATGGCTCGATAATTGTTCGTGTTGTTCTTTGGTCAATTCCTTGGTTTGTCCCATTATTTTTGTCTCTTAGGAGAGAGAATTTTGTGAATCAAGTCAATAAAACACGAGGTAAATAAAAGTAGGCCGTCATATGACCGACGCGGTTGTATGACGTTAATTAGCATTTTAGGGGGCGCTCGTCCACTCTCTATACAATATTGATCACACATTCTTGTACAAATTTTCCTTGCTTGTATATAAATATTCATATTCGTTGGTTATAAAGCAGCTTCTCTTTCAAATCCTTTTTTTTTACAGCATAACAATCATCTACACATTTGCTGTACATAAACTCTAATAACTTAGAGATCGACCTAAATCGAAATATAGTCATTCACATTCAATGTAGTCGACTCCAAAGTCAGGTTACGAACAACTTTGACTATCGTCTATATGAAGTTAAGATAATCCAAGCCCACCAAACACGCCAAATTCATCATCAAAATTCCTGCTCGCTATAGATTCTTCGGCTACATTCTCATATATGTTGTTGATTTAATCTATTCAACATTGACCTTATTCAACACGTGCCGAACTTGTTGCAGTAACTTCTAGCTCTCATCTTCAGCTCAAGTTAATATCCGTATAGATAGTTCTCAAACATCCATGGTTTTTATACGCAAAAATTGGGTATGAATAGATGATGTATTTATGTTACCCTGTAAATATATTAAAAAAAAATACAAAAAGTTTAATCCATGTAGTTCTTTGTCGAATTTTCGAATTGCAATAAATCAAGCTTGCAGTATCAACAGCAAAACAAAAAAAACCTTTACCCAATGGTTCAAATTCAGTAAATTATCTCTTGCACCAAAGATTTTGGGTTGGAGGTGAGAGGAGAAAGTATTGTGTGAGAGACGTTTCAAGAGAGTCCTTTGTCCATGAACTTTGGTGAAAAATTTTATTATCTTTGTCGACAATATAAAGTCACAATTTTCTTCGTAAATAAACTTTATTGAAAGGAACGCGTTTGAAATTTATCATAATAAAAAATATTTTCAAAATGGCGACGTGAAATACTGTATTATTCAAGAAAGAAAAAAAAAAATCGTTTTATTAGTTTATCCTACGAATAATAAATGACGTTTTCAAAGATTCAAGTAGTATATCTCATTACGTCAAGTATTTTTCGTAATCTTTACAGGTAAATACACGAAAAATTATCGCATTTTTCACGTCAATATAAAAAAAATAATGTACTAGATGAATCGTTCTCAGAAAATCTCTGCAAATAAAGGACATAGTAACATTTTTATTTTTAAGTATTTTATAATCGAAAGTTGATTTTTGAGAAGTTTTTAATATGAAGAGAAGTTTGGGTACAAAATTTTGCTTAAAAATGTTTGGAAATTTTGACGTTGACAACGTGATCAAAACTAACTATAGATCGGCATTGATTTTTTCCGACGATCCCGGCAAGCATTTTTTCGAATAGGGGTTGATATGAAGAGTCAAGATCATTAAAGTTGAAAATAAAGCGAATTTGTAAATAAATTCATTTTCTTTGTTGTAAAGGTGAAGTAAAAAGCACTTTTACATACAGTCATTATCCGTCAAATGGAAATTGTTATTATTTCTTGGGTAAGGCTTAGTTAAAAAATTAGTTGACATTTTTATTCGTTATTATGAAACCATCTGACGAATAATATATTAAATTTTATATATAGTCAAACGTTGTGTATTAAAAGATGAGGTGAGGTAAATGAATCATAAATGCAAATTGCTTGACTCAAAAATTAATCCAAGGTGAAACTGCGAATGGCTCATTAAATCAGTTATAATTTATGGCTTAACGTCGACGATGAACCATTTAAATTTCTGCCCTATCAAACTTTTGATGGTAGGATAAAGGCCTACCATGGTGGTAACGGGTAACAGGTGTTTGGGCATGACACCGGAGAGGGAGCTTGAGAAACGGCTACCACGTCCAAGGAAGGCAGCAGCATAATTTTGAGGTGGATTTGCATGATTCAAACCTATAATTAACATAAAACCTTTAAAGTTATCATTTATCAACCAACCATTTAACATAAATTAATAATGAAAGATCACTTTCAACAATGGATCTCTTGGTTCTCGCATCGATGAAGAACGCAGCGAAATGCGAAAAGTAATGTGAATTGCAACCTGTGAATCATCGAATCTTTGAACGCAAATTGCACCCTCTGGTAATCCGGAGGGTATGCCTGTTTGAGTGTCTTTAGTAATTATTGACATATACCTATGTAATAATGTCAGAATTGAGCTATCTATCTACGTGCCAAGAATAGTGGCTTTAAATAAGACCATGTCATACATATATCTTTACGTTATGTATACATATTTATCAAATTGACCTCAAATCAGGTAAGAATACCCGCTGAACTTAAGCATATCAATAAGCGGAGGAAAAGAAAATAACAATGATTCCCTCAGTAACGGCGAGTGAAGTGGGATGAGCTCAAATTTTAAATCTATTGGGTACCTACCTAATAGAGTTGTATTTTGAAGAAACGTTTTCTGCGTCCTGGATTAACCCAAATCCTTTGGAATAAGGTATCATGGAGGGTGAGAATCCCGTTCATGGTTAATCTTAAGGATGCTTTACGATACGTTTTCCAAGAGTCGAGTTGTTTGGGATTGCAGCTCAAAATGGGAGGTAAATTTCTCCTAAAGCTAAATATTGGCGAGAGACCGATAGCAAACAAGTACCGTGAGGGAAAGATGAAAAGAACTTTGAAAAGAGAGTTAAATAGTACGTGAAATTGTTGGAAAGGAAACGATTAAAGTCAGTCATACCAACGGGAAATCAACCTTTTGAGTTCGGTCTTGTGGGTTTGAAGAGTTTCAAAGCCTTCGGATTTGTGAGATTGGGATCTCTTGGTGCACTTTTTCGTACGGTTAGTCAACATCGGTTTTAATCATTATAAAATGGTTGAAGGAATGTAACTTTGATTTCGATCGAGGTATTATAGCCTTTGACAGATGTAATGATCAAGACCGAGGATTGCAACGGATACCCTTCAGGGCTATTCGTCTGATCTTTGGTACTTGTCTTTAGTATCGGAAGCTTGCTAACGATATTAGGGTTCACGGGTCAAAGGTTGGAACGGATTAAATTCGTTAAGGATGTTGACGTAATGACTTTAAACGACCCGTCTTGAAACACGGACCAAGGAGTCTAACATATATGCGAGTGTTTGGGTGATTAAACCCTTGCGCGTAATGAAAGTAATTTTGGTGAGATCCGGGAAAAAATTTTCGGAGCATCATCGACCGATCAGGATATTTTTTGATAGATTTGAGTAAGAGCATATCTGCTAGGACCCGAAAGATGGTGAACTATGCCTGAATAGGGCGAAGCCAGGGGAAACTTTTGGTGGAGGCTCGAAGCGGTTCTGACGTGCAAATCGATCGTCAAATTTGGGTATAGGGGCGAAAGACTAATCGAACCATCTAATAGCTGGTTCCTGCCGAAATTTCCCTTAGGATAGCAGAAGCTCTTTAAAAACTAGTTTTATGAGGTAAAGCGAATGATTAGAGGCATTGGGGTTGAAACAACCTCAACCTATTCTCAAACTTTAAATATGTAAGAAGCTTTCAAGTTACTTGATTGAACTTGAGCTAATAGAATACGAGTTTCTTGTGGGCCATTTTTGGTAAGCAGAACTGGCGAAATGGGATGAACCGTTCGTAAGGTTAAGGTGCCTAAATTCACGCTAATTTAGATACCATAAAGGGTGTGAGTTCGTATTGACAACGGGACGGTGGCCATGGAAGTTGGAATCCGCTA